AGAAGGCTATCAGATTGGTCAGGCATGATTTCCCCTTGGTGAATCCATGCTGACTGCTCCTGATGATAACTTTCTTTTCCTCCACATGCTTAGAGATGACCCCCAGAATGAGCTGTTCCATCACCTTTCCAGGGATGGAGGTGAGGCTGACTGGCCTGTAGTTTCCTGGGTCCTTGCTGCCCTTTTTGAAGACCGGAGTGACATTGACTTCCTTCCAGTCCTCAGGCACCTCTCCTGTTCTCCATGACCTTTATCCATGATGGAGAGTGGCTTAGCAATAACATCTGCCAGCTCCCTCAGCACTTGTGGGTGTATCCCATCAGGGCGCATGGATTTGTGGTTGTCGAGTTTGCCTAAATGACCTCTAACCTGATCCTCCTCGACCAAGGGAAAGTCTTCCTTTCTCCAGACTTTCTGTCTTACCCCCAGGGTCTGGGATTCCTGAGGGCTGGCCTGAGCAGTAAAAACTGAAGCAAATAAGGCATTCAGGAACTTCGCCTTCTCTGTATCCTCCGCCACCAGGGCACCCACCTCATTCAGCAGCAGGAGCAGGCCCACGTTTTCCCTAGTCTTCCTTTTGCTGCTGATGCACTTGAAGAAGCCCTTCTTGGTGTCCTTGACATCCCTTGCCAGATTTAATTCCAGGCAGGGCTTAGCCTTCCTCATTGCCTCCCTACATACTCTGAAGACATTCCTATATTCCTCCCAAGTGGTCAGTTCCTTTTTCCACATTCTGTAAACTTCTTTTTTCCCTTTGAGTTTTTCCAGAAACTCCTTGCTCATCCGTGCAGGTCTCCTGCCTCCTTTGTTTGATATCTTAATCTTTGGGATGCACCAATCTTGAGCTTGGAGAAAGTAGGCTGCACCAATCTTGAGCTTGGAGAAAGCCGTGCTTGAATATTGACCAGCTCTCTTGGACCCCTTTACCTTCTAGAGCTGTAACCCATGGGATTCTCCCAATAAGGTCTTTGAAGAGGCCAAAGTGAGCTCTCCTCAAGTCCAGGGTTGTGATTCTACTTAGTGCCCTGCTCCTTCCACGCAGAATCCTGAACTCTACCATCTCATGGTCGCTACAGCCAAGGTTGCCCGCAACCTTCACATCCCCAGCCAGCCCTTCCTTGTTTGTTAGCACAAGGTCCAGCAGCACCCCTCTCCTCATGGGCTCCTGCACCACTTGGGTCAAAAAGTTATCATCAGTACTCTGCAGGGACCTCCTGGACTGTGCATGCCTTGCTGTTTTGCCTTTCCAGCAAATATCAGGGATGCTGAAGTTCCCCATGAGGACCAGGGCCTGTGATTGTGAGGCTACTTCCAGCTGTCTGTAGAAGGCCTCACCAACTTCTTCTTGATCAGGTGGCCTGTAGTAAACACCCACAACAGTGTCACCCATATTAGCCTCCCCCTTAATTTTTACTCATAAGCTCTCGACTCGGTCTTCATCCACCCCTAGGCAGAGCTCAATACATTCCAGTTGCTCTCTCACATAAAGAGCAACTCCACCATCTTGTCTTGCTGACCCGTCTTTCCTAAAAAATACATAGCCATCCATGACAGCATTCCAGTCATGTGAGCTATCCCACCATGTCTCTGTAATTGCAATGAGATCGTGGCCCTGCGACCGCCAGTTCTTCCTGTTTATTCCCCATGCTGCATGTGTTGGTGTATAGGCATTTCTGAGGTAATGGAGCATGCAGGTTTCCCTGGAGGAGTGCAAGAGGGTCCTTCATAGCCATACATGCCCTTGAGGTGGTTGGCCTTCTGGTTCTTGTCTTCGAGTCAGCTAAGGAACACTTGTTGCAGCTCTGGTTGGCCTGGCTTATTCCCCAGTTGGATGCAAGGGCATGAGCTTTACCACTTTGGACTCTGCTCTCTGAGTCCTTCAGTTTAAAGCCCATTTCACCAAGTTGGCCAGCCTGCTGCCAAAGATCCTCTTGCCTCTTCTAGACAGGTGGATCCCATCCCTCCTTAACAGGTTATAGTCATCAAAGAATGTCCCGTTGTCATAAAAGCCAAAACCCTCGCGACAGCACCAGCCACATAGCTAGAAGTTGATATGCATTATACATCTGTTTCTGTCTCCTCCCTTTCCTCCAGCTGGTAAAATGGAGAAAAAAAAAATATCTGGGCACCAGTATTTTTCACTTGCATCCCCAGGGCTTTATAGTCTTCCTTGATTCTGCCCAGGTTCTGGCTTTTGTGGTGTCATTCATGCCCACATGAAAGAGTAACAGTGGACAGTACTCTGTGCTCTTGACAAGTTCTGGGATCCTCTTGGCAATATCTTGGACCTTAGCTCCTGGAAGGCAGCATACCTCTCGTGTCTCCGTGTCAGGTCAGCAGATGGGCGGCTCCGTGCCCCTTAACAGAGAGTCACCCACTATGAGCACTTGTCGTTTGTTTTTACAGTGTTTTTACCTTGTTTAAAAGAATTGAACCAGTCTGATTGTTCACTATTGAAATAATGATAGTATCTTTTGGTCTTTCAGACTTCAGTCCATTTTCTGTTGGAAATCATTACTATGCTTTATTCTTCCAGTCTCTGAAGTGAAGAACATTAATTTAGCTTACTGTAAAACTGGTTATTTTGCAAAAGTAAGTCTCTTCTATATATGCACTCTGTTCTGAACATGAATGCACACTATCACTTTTGTTCCTATTTTTTTTAATCTGTACCAACAGTGAAGCATACTCAAGCAGTTTAGATGGAACAGTGATTGCTTGGAACATCAGCACTCTGAAAGTTAACAGCACCTTTCAGCTGCCCTGCCAACATCTCACTTCTATCAAGCTTCATAATGACCAACTGTGGTGCTGTAAGTTCATTCCATAAATAATTTTTTTAAAAAATTACACCTTTACATAATAGGCAGTTTTATTAGACAGAACAATACATTACTCTCAAACTTGGACTTATGTCTTGGATCACTCCTGGAGGTTTTGCCCCTGCTGCAGGATGTGACTTCTGGCTACACTCTATTTGCCTGACCTCCCCTGGCAATGCCTGTAAATTGGAATGGAAAACTTTGAAAAGTCCTTTTAAAGTTTAGAGGGACAATAGTGGTTGCACATTGCATTTGGTATTTCAGCTAGACTTTATGGTATTGGTCTCACTTAGTAATCCCCAGACCAGCATTTTGGCCACTTTTAGATATTTGTCATCCCCTCTGTAGGAGTTTAGATGAATAAAGTAAAGCTTTGTGCTAGGGTAGAGGATCATCTTGAAGTTGTTTCATAAATGCCAACTGATTAAAGAATTTTGCATTGATTCTCAGTGCTGCTATGCACAAGAGGCTGGATCCAAACATACCTTAACAGAAGAGCAGCTAAAGCCTTAGGAAATTCCTGGTCCCACTGTGGGCAGCGGCAATGCTGCCATTGCTGTGGTGGGGTAAGGGTTCAGCCCTGTTAACTTTGTAACACTCGGTCTCAGTTCTGTAGTTGAAAATAATTGTGCACTTGAGAACCTAAGTATAAAATGGCCTAATTTTAAGGAGTTTGTTTCTTCTCCTCTCATCATTTTTGGACTCTAAAGTAACAGGCGTATGCACTGCGGAATAGCAAGCAGTGTTTGGAGAAGGAACAGATCCAAAAAATAGATACTGTGAAAAACGGGAAGAAACCTCAAAGATTTCACTCTCAATTGAGAAACAAGACAGTTGTTAGATTCGTCCACTTTATTTTACCTTTTTTCTCCATGGTTTATAGAGATGGAGGAAGTAAGCACTTCTGTTACTAACTTTTTCTGTTTAATACCAAAGGTACTGGAAGTTGCATACTCGTAGTGTCAACTCATGAATTTCGACTACAGATGAAAATTGAGCATCACCTGAAGGATGTGTGTACCTGTTTACTCTGCTTCCAGCTTTTTCCTGAGGTATTACATTTAAACTGTTAATAGCCTATAAAGGAAACACAACTATGTGGCATTACAAGCCATAGTTACTTGTCACAGCATACTTCCTGTCAGCAGTGCTCATGTTAAACGTATCTTTCCGTGCTTCAGAGAGACGAAGTGTGGGCATCTTATTCAGGGAGTAGTGACCTGTATGTTTGGAACACCAAAGAATTTTCAAGTACGCCTCAGAAGATTCATCTTCAAGATTGCTCTGAGATTACTTGTATGATAAGAGTTAAAAATCAGGTGAGAGACATTTGGACTGTTTATACCTCTTGTGGAATTCTTTACTAAAGTTTTGTTTGTTTGCAGCTCTCATGGGCCATCATCGGTTAGCTTCCTTACTGGGTGTTTGCATACGTACTAGTTTGAAATTTTGATTCCTCTTTGAAATCAGAGATGCTAATGATTGCCCAACACAGCTGGCTGTTACAGGTATACCCCAAAATGTACATCAAGCCAAAAGCCTCATCAGTAGTTAAATGCGTGATGACTTTTATTAGTCATTGACATTTTCAGGGAACTGTAGAAACTGAAAGTTTAGGTCCCTTGATAGTTAATCTCAGGGCTCCTAAGACTAAGCCTTGGAAAAGGTTAATAGATAATAAATGCCGATTAGCTGCCCTATTTTTGTAGATGACCTTTTTCTTGTTTAGTTACCACATTCCTAACTCAGCAGAGACCAAAGGAGCCAACAGCTTCCTACCCTAGCATCTTGCGTCCCTGTCATTCTTGGCCTCAGGCTATGTACCTGCTCTTTCCGCATGGTACCAGTAGCTGTGCAAATGATTGTAGTGGTGATGCCACATGGACAGGTTTAGGGTTAATTTGCAAAGAAATAGCTAATATATATCTAGTAGAAAAGCAACTTTCTGAAGCTTTTTCTCAGATTTTCCCTCCTTCCTTAAAAAATGACTTTTTTTCATGAAGTGCCTCATGAAATAGGGAAGCTTTGTGTGTGTTCAGCCCTTGGTTAGATTTGTGAACTAAAATGGAAAAACCTATTGAGATATCCTTCCCCCAAGTGGAAGGAGAATATATTTAACCTCTGTTTTAAGAGAGTTAGAGGATTATTTGGAAACCCCAAGGCATTAAGCTCTCTTTTGTGCTACTTAAGAACTTTATTCCTTTTCTCTTCCACTTATTCCTCACTCAGCTCCACCTTAACTAAAATTGTAGTCCAACTTACTGAAACAAAAGGAACAACTGGAAAATATCCCTATGCGATCCATCTCCTGAACCTGAGTGTTCAATGTGCCATCTTTCAGCCTGCCAACATCTGGGCAGCCTCTGTTGTCCGAGGGGAAAGTCTGGAGCCTGTTGTAGTGGCTGGAGCACCCATCCTCCTCTTCTACACAGCATTACAGTTACTGATAATGAACTTGCAGCCTGGTACAGGCTAACAACAACATTGGTAGGGTTGCCTGCCACATGCTGGCTTTTAAGTGCTTTAATTAAAAACAAGCCATTGTTTGTTTTTAAGAAAACTGAGACAAACCCAATTGCATAAAGTGTCTATCTGAAATAGGATGCTTTCTGGCTGGCAAGCATTACTAATACACAACAGCGAGTACTTAGTCTGTACAAAACGGTGCACAAGAAGACCACAGCTGTTTCAGGTGCATCTCACCGCATATTCTGCCTCTTAACTGTGGCAATTGCAAAGTCATGTAGGGAGAGCGTGTGAACCTTGCCGGTATCTGCAGTCCATTCTCCTTAAGCTCCCGCGCTGTCCATAGTTCTTGTTTAGAGGTACTAAAGTGTGCACCTCTGCCTCATTCTTTTATTTTCTGTTTTTGGACCCAATCTCTGTGGATCTGATTACATTTTGAACTTGCTGGTGTCACAGTTTCCTGTAGCAGCAGGTTCCAGAAGTTCGCTGCCAGCCATTTACAGAGAACTACTTTCTTCTGAGTGAAACTGAACTCTTACTAGTTTCCACACGTGTCTCTTACTTCTCCAGTTGTGGGATGTATTGAACAATGGTTCTACAGTCTGCTTATCTGCACTTTTGTGATTTTATGTGATCTCTCCTTAGTTGCCTTCTCTCCAGCCTAGGGAGTCCTGGCTTTTTCCATCTTTGCTAGTATCACAGCTGTTTCTTTCTCCTGATAGTTTGAGTTTCTCTTCCCTGGATTTCCTCTACTCTTGCAGTGCAGAGACCAGAATTGCACACAGCGCTCTAGATACAGGCACGCTGTGGTTTGTGTAGTGGTAAAGTGACACCTTCTGTCTTATTCTCTGCACTGTGTCTGTGGCACCAAAGCCAAGTCGAGTTGCCAAGGCAAGCAGCTCCAGTGCCAGCACAATTGGCAGCAGAGTGCTCTAGTGCAGTGTACAGGGGAGTTTCCTGAACTGGGAAAACCTGAGGAGAGCGGAGAGACCCTCCAGGAACCCGTACCTCCTGGAACAGCGGCTGACGAGACTTGTGTGGGGCCAGCAGCAACAGCGACTAAGCCCACGCACAAGTATAAAAGAAGTCCCAAGGGAATGCTAGTGACCAGGGCAGGCAAACAGGCTGCAGTGCGGCAGTTTGTGCAGCAGTTAGCTCACAGGAAGGGTGCTGCAACTCTGCCAGCTCGACCAGGGAGCAATGGTATCCATCCAGCAGAAGGCCATGGCCTCTCTGAGCTCTGCACCCACCCTGACTGACGCAGCTTCCCAGACAGAGCTGCGGTGGGGACATGCTGCCACCCAGGTGTCAGGCTGCAGGCTGTGCCCTGCTCTTACACCAGTACAGGACGGCAGCAGTGAGCACACCTGTGGGAGGTGCAACCAGGTGGAGGAACTCCTCTGCTCAGTGACAGAGCTCTGGGAGGAGGTGAGCAGGTTGAGGAGCATCAGGGAGTCTGAGAGAGAGATAGACATGAACTCCAACAGATACAAATATATATAGGAAATTTTCAGTGTTTCCCTGTTCCAGTGTAGCAAGAGAGAACCCTCAATGTGATATGTAAAACTACTCAACTGCATTCTAGACCGAAATGTAAAGTATTGAAAATGATTGTGCTTTTGTGTTTTGTTTTTACTCCAGATGTGGATTGGCAGCAGTGGAAGATCGCAAGGCAAAAGCAAAGGCAAGATCTATGTGATCAGTGCTGAAAAGAAGACTGTGGAGAAAGAGTTGGTTGGTCATGCCGATACAGTAAAGGCATTGTGCTCGGCAGAGGACAGATATGTCCTCAGCGGCTCTGGAAAAGAAGAAGGGAAGATTGCCATTTGGAAAGCTGAATAGTTAAACTATTCAAAATATGTCTACTGTGCTGGAAAAAAGTGAAGACCTCAGGCTGTGTTTACTCCAGCATTTTGCATATATTTCAATCACCTGTCAGTGTTATTTTTTTGTATTTATTGAGTTATTTTAGTACCTGCATTGTTGCAGATAATCAAAATAGAAGTGAATCTCTTCTTGCACCCTGTACTTGCTCCTGCACGTTTGATAAAGAAAAAGAAATGTGAATAGAGGGGTCACAGGCTTTAAACTTGACAGGCGGTGTTGTGAAGGGTCAGGGTTATAGGCCAGACTGCGTGGTGCAGATAGCATTGAGAGCACCAAAGCCAGCTCAGTAATTCAACTGGAGCTCTTTTTGGGCAGTGCACGGGTTGCCTGAAAAGTGGGATTAGATACTGTCTTTACAGCCTCTAATAGCTGAAAATGGTCACCGAAAAGAAAAAACTAAGTGCCTTTGTTGGATTTATGGAGTTACTGTAAATGCTGAGTATCTTTCTGAACTAGCAGCTAGATTTAGCGGGGAAGACTGTCCATTACCACTCTATGTATATTTATGGTGCTGTATTATTTAAAATGTAGACACAGACAGGCTTTCCCTGATAGCACTGAAAGCTCCCTGCTGGTGAAAAAAGATACTTGGATATTCTTAATGACTGTTTTACTTTTTAAACTACTTTTTCCTTTAAAAACAATGCACCACACTTGGCATTTTTAACAGTTTGTGAAACTGATTTTTTTTTTTTTTTTAGCTGAAGCACTTAATTTATTTAATTTCCATATATATTATACTTGCTTTTGGAAGCAACCTTTCAGTTTACTGTGCAAACAAACCTCTGCCACTCCTCCCTTCAGTTGCCAGTTCTGTAATCAGAAGAGCTGCTGTTATTTTGTGTAGAACCTCCTTAATTTTTAAGTACTGCAGAGTCATCAAACTACTCCTTAATTACTGAAGCAAGCATCATTGGATTGCAGTCTAGAGGATTCTCTTGAGCAGCATTCCTTAATCACTTCCTGATGTACATTGTTTTTTCCAGTGATGACAATTATCTACAAGTAAGTCTTCAAGGCCAGGTTGGATGGAGCTTTGGGCAACCTGGTCTAGGTGAGGGAGTCCCTGCACGTGGCAGGGGAGGTTGGAACTAGATGATCTTTAAGGTCCATTCCAACCCAACCCATTCTGTGATTCTAAGTAAAACAATAAATCTATGCAGAATAGTTTTATCTGTATCAGTGCTGAGTAAACAGGAATACAATATTTAAAATATTGTAAATAATAGAAAGGAAAAAATGGGCTGCTACTTTTGTTAATAAATATAAAACAGTGTAGGCCTAATACAAGTGTAAACTTCTGGAAGTATACTCCATGTAATATTTCTAACACTTTCAATGTGCTGATGAAAGGTTTTATTATATGACGGTAACTGAAATTTTACCTTTTTAGGTGTTTTTTTCAATTTTAAGAATATTAAACACTATATTGATACTCCGACCTCTCTTTGTACCTCATTCTTTTTCCTGTGTAACTGAATACACAATACAAGAATGATGATTTTTAGCACTGACTTGCTTCCTGTCTGTGTACTATGGAGAATAATTGCCTGGGTTTTTTTTTTTTTTTTTCTTTCTGCATAACCTCCTTTCTAAAACCAGCTACCACTGTGCTGGTAACGTGTCCTCCGTTGAGCCCCTCATCTGTAACTTTCACATTCCTTATTTCCTCCCCAGGCAGCTGTCTGGCTGGCGGTGGTAAGTGAAATAAATTATTTATTGAATTAAAAGATTTCTCTGTACAGAGACACACAAGCACTGTTAATGAAACTTCACTCGCTGCAGAGGTGAACCCAGCTATGCCAACCTGCCACCTGCCTGTCATTGCCTTCATTGATTTTCATTCCTGCCAGACTTTAAACCTGGTTTTGCCTTCTCAACTGGTTCGTACCCAGCTTGTGAAAATGTCAGGTGACAAAAATACCAAATGTCCATTTTTATGCTTGTAAATTCTTTTATTGATAAAAGACTCCAAAGTAATTTATTGAATAGGAACATAATTTATTGACTAGATGTCTCCTTTGTAAAAACATTGCTTTCTTTAATACCAGCTGTTGAACACCAGTGTATAGGAGAGGAGTTTAACAACGTCAGACCAAGCCATGAGATGATACAAAGATTCTTCAAGAAGACTAACCCATCCCCAAGAGCAGGATGACCAGCAATACCAATTCAGCTGGCTTGAGGAGCACAATGGCATGTTGGTTTGTCTCTCCTGGTGTGAGGAGAAAGCTCAGGTATGTGTTTACTTACCACTTCAGCTTTGCTCTAGAATTACAGCTCTGGAAAAAAACCTGCAGGAACAGCACTGCAGGGTTTTGTTCAATTTTCAGTGGTTTTTTCAGTTATTTCCCGTGGTGGTGGGAAGGCACAGGAGAAAAGAGTCTCAGATACTTTGTGGTCCTCAGAGCTTTTCTTTGCCATGATTCCTACTAGGAGATTGCCAGGCCTAGTTGCCAGTGTGCAGCCCACACTGATCCTGCTGACTGATGCTGGCTTGTGACTTCTGTGTACGTGTCTCTCTCTGCCTGTTGTTTCACCCTGGGGTAAACTGTTTGAGGCAGAGACCATCTTCTGGTTGTAGTCATTACATGAGCACAATGCACGGTGCTGTGTTGGCCCATAGGACGGACTCCTGCAAATCGTGACAGTAAATACTAGTGCTTGATGGCTTGGACTTTGTAAACCATTTGTTGAGTCTTTCAGTTAAAAAAGCAGATTATCAGGGGCTCAAACAGGCTGACAAACAGTGGGAAAGTGTTATGCTCTACCTGAAATTGTCTCAGTCTCTAGTGGAGGGTGTCCCTGCCCATGGCAGGGGGGGTTGGAACTAGATGATCTTTAAGGTCTAAACCATTCTATGATTCGATGAACACCACTTCCATAAAGAAAGAAAGATGAGTCATTGTCATAGGAGACTTTCTCCTCTGGGGAACGGAAAGTCCAGTATGCCGACCAGTC